TGTTCTCTAGTTGTGTAGATTTATACTCAGCCAACATCTTTTCAAGAGAAGCAAAGGAGAAGAAAAACAGCATAAAGAAGAAATGCTGTTTCCTCCACTCAGAAGCAGATCTGTGCAATAGTTGAGGATTTGTCTCTTGGTTTTTGGCTACCAGGCATAGTCACTTCCACACTCTCAATAAAACTTTCTTTAAAAAACAAAAACAAAAACAGTAAGCTTCAGATGCAAGACATGATTGCAAAAGAGAGTACCATGTGCCAAATCAAAGCAATTTCCTCAGAGAAGAATGTTTGGCACTAAGGCAACATTTGGTTCTTTTTGGTCCCTTTTTAAATTTGGATAGCAGGTATGAGCCAACAATGGTGATGTCAGCCATAATTTTCAGCTTATTTTAGGAAAGTACTTGAATACGCAATTTGTAAACACTTCTATCTTTACAGAGACTGAACTACAGAATTTTGTGTGTGTGCAAAAGGAGATATTTCACATTCAAATGAAGTTGCAGAGGCTCATCCCTCTGTGGTAAGAGCAAAATTCATCTAAAGGATATAGAGATACCGAAGAAAACATGAATTGTGGTTTTAGGATTTGACATTGTCTTTTGTTGAAGAGCAAAGGCAATTTAACCTGGGGGACTTATTTTCTTAGTTTTCATTCTAAAGGACATTTTCAATTGCATCACGAAAGGGATCTTTGTACTCACCTCACTTTCTGTCTGCAGATGAATAAGGCAACAACAGCCACCAACATGCCAATTAGGAACAGAGCAGCACTCACACCTTCAATGACGCCAAACAAGGGCTCTACAATAGTCCAGATGAGAGTACCAAACCCAGATGAGAAAATCAGCATGAAGGAAATGAAGCTCTATTCCAAGGGATATTGTGATACACAGAATCCAAGTGATGTCCACATTTAAGCAATTTTTAATCAAAGGCTGGGAGTATGCAACTGATATAGGATAGTAGCCCACATTTTAGCCTAACAGGCAGGTTGGACATTATTAACTTGAAATTAATGTTTATACTTTAAATTAATGGTGTTTGCTTATAAGTGGATTTTGGACTTTTGTGTTTGTTTATAAATATTGATACAAAAGCCATTATTTAGAATGATGGAGAATATGTTGTTTGCCATCAAAATAAAAATGCTTATTTCATTTATATGAAACATGCTACACACCACCTGGGGGGTTGGAAAAACCAATGAGTTGATGGAAGGTTATTTAAAAAGAACTTTCAAAAGAGTTGGTAATGCTGTGGGTTAGGTATTGGGCTGCTAACCACAAGGCCAAAGGTTCAAACCCACAAGTTGCTCCACAAGAGAAAGATGACACTTCCTTCTTACATAAAGATTTATAGTCTCAGAAACCCTACACATTGGGTTGCTATGTATAGTTGGAATAGACTTCATAGCAGTGGGTTTGGGTTGGTATAATACAGCCACTGGAAGTTTACGAACAGCTACGAGCAATCCATTTGTCTTGTAGCCTTAACCAACCCACTGTCATCAAGTCAATTCTGACTCACAGTGACCCTATATAGAGTTTCCAAAGCAGTAATCTTTATAGAAGCAGAAAGCCACATTTTTCTTTCTTGGAGCAGCTAATGGGTTTGAATGGCCAACCTTGTGGGTTGCAGCTCATTGTTTATCCTACAGTGCCATCAGGGTTCCTTTTCTAGGAAGTAGCCTTATTGAAATATAATTCATACACCCTACAATTTACCTCCACCACTATTTCGTATTAATGTGGTGGCTTGTGTGTTGCTGTGATGCTGTAGTATTTTAAATACCAACAAGGTAATCCATGATGGAAAGTTTCTCCATGATGGAAAGTTTCACCACAGCTTCCAGACTAAGGCAGACTGGAAAGAAGGAGAAGCAGAGAACTTCTGAATGGTTTGTTGTTGTTGTCAGGTGCCATCAAGTAAGTAGCGACTCATAGCGACCTTAAACACTGCCCAGTCCAACCTCACAACTGTTGCCTATGCTTGAGCCCACTGATGCTGCCACTTTGCCAATCCATCTTACTGGGATCTTCCTCTTTTTCTCTGACCCTCCACCTTACCAAACATTATATCCTTCTCCAGTGACTGGTCCTCCCTCCTGACAGTATGTCCGAAGTATGAGAGATGAAGTTTGGCCATCCTGGCCTCCAAGGAGCACGGTGGCTGCACTTCTTCCAACACAGATCTGAATGGCTAGCCACTGAAAATTGTATGAACAGCTGCAGAACACTGTCAAGATATGTTACTGGAATATGAACCAAACTCCTCAGGATGAAAGGCACACAAAATATGACTGGGGAAGAGCTGCCTTATGAAAGTAGAATTCACCTCAATGCCATGAAAGGAGTAAAGCTTTCAAGACCTTCCATTGCTGATGTGGCACCAATCAAAATGGGTGAAGAAATAGCTGCAAACATCTCTTAATAATTGGAACTTGAAATATACAAAGTATGGATCTAGGAAAATTGGAAGATGTTAAAAATGAAATGGAACACGTGAAGATTGATATCCTGGGCGTTAGTGAGCTGAAACGGACTGGTATTGGCCATTTTGAATCAGAAAACCATTTGGTTTACTATGTTGGGAAAGACAAATTCAAGAGGAATGGCATCACATTCAATATAAAAAAGAACATTTCCAGGTCTATCTTGAAGTACAATGCTGTCTGTGACAGACAGGATAATATCACACACCTACAAAGAAGACCAGTTAATACCACTCTTACTCAAATTTACACACCAACCACTAAGCCAGTTATGATGATACTGAAGAATTCTATTTCAAACTTCTTCAGTTTAAAATTAATCAAACAGGTAAGCAAGATGCATTGATAATTACAGGTGATTGGAATGCAAAGGTTGAAAACAAAGAGGAAGGATGAATAGTTGGAAACTATGGCCTTCATGATAGAAATGATGCTGCCTTCTTCACTGCAAATACCTTTTTAAAACAACATGAAAGGTGACTATATACACGGACCTCAACAGACAGAATACACAGAATTCAAATTGACTGTATCTGTGGAAAGAGACAGTGAAAAAACTCAAAATCATCAGCCAAAACAAGGTGAGGGGCCAACTGTGAAACAGAACATCAACTGTTCATAGGGTAGCTCAGGCTGAAGTCGAAGAAAATTAAAACAAGTCCACAAGAGCCAAAACAACATTTTGAGTATATCCTACATAAATTTAAAGACTATCTCAAGAACAGATTTGATGCATCAGACACAAATGACAGAAGAGCTGTGGGATGACATCAAGAACACTATACATGAAGAAAGTAAAGAGGAAAGAAAGAAAAGAACAACATGGATGTCTGAAATCTGCTCTTGAGAATAGAGAAACTAAAGTAAATGGTAAAAGGGGGGAAGTAAAAGAGCTGAACAGAAAAATTTAAAGGGCAGCTCAAGAAGACAAAGTATTATAATGAAAGACCTGGAATTAGAAAACCAAAAGAGAAGAACATGCTCAGCAGTTTTCGAGCTAAAAGAACTAATAAAAAATTCAAAGCTTGAGTTGAAATATTATTGAAAGATTCTATGGGCAAAATATTTAATGATGCAGGAAGCATCAAAAGAATATGAAAGGAATACACAGAGTCACTGTACCAAAAAGAATTGACTGATGTGCAACCATTTCAGAAATGGCATAAGATCAAGAACCAATTGTAGTGAACACAGAAGTCCAAGCTGCACTGAAGGCATTGGTGAAAACAAGGCTCTAGGAATTGGTGAATTACAAATTGAAATGTTTCAACAAACTGATGCAGTGTTGGAGGTGCTCACTTGTCTATGCCAAGAAACTGGCCCACTGGATGAAAGAGATACATATTTGTGGTGACCCAACAGAACATGGGGATCATCGAACAATATAAATATAAATATCACATGCAAGTAAAATGTTGCTGAAGGTAATTAAAAAACAGTTGCACCAGTACATTGACTGGAAGCTTCCAGAAATTGAAGTTGGATTCAGAAGTGCACAAGGGAATCATTGCTGACATCAGATGGATCTTGGCTCAACACAGAGTATAACATAAAGACATTTCCTTGTGTTTTATTGACTATGCACAGACGTTTGATGTGTGGATCATAACAAACTACAGCATTGCAAAAAATGGGAATTCTAGAATATTTAATTGAGCTCCTGAAGAATCTGTAATAGACCAAGAGGCAGCTGACTGAACAGAAAGACCAAAGAGATACTAAATGATTTAAAGTCAGGAAAGGAGTGCGCTAGGATTGTATCATTTGTCCATACTTATTGTTTGTATGCTGAACAAACGATCTGAAAAGCTGGATTCTATGAAGAAGAACATAGCATCAGGATTGGAGAGACAATCAGCAATATGAAGAAGACACAACCTTGCTGGAAACCAAGAAGACTTGAAATACTCTCTGATGAAAATCAAATACTACAGCTTTCACTGTGGATTGCACTTCAATGTAAAGAAAACAAAAATATCACTGGACCAATAAATAACATTAAGATAAACGGAGAAAAGACTGAAGTTGTCAAAGACTTAATTTTGTTTGAGCCATAATCCACATTCATGCAAACAGCAATCAATAAATCAAAGGACGTACTGAACCAGGCAAATTTTCAAAATACCTTTTTAAAGTGTTAAAAAGCAAAAATATCAGTTTTATGAACCAAGACATGGTATTTTCAACGGCCTCATATGCATGTGAAAGTTGGACAATGAATAAGGAAGACTCTAGAAGAACTAATGCATTTGAATTATGGTGCTGGAGAAGAATATTGAAAGTACCATGGGCTGCCAGAAGAACAAACAAATGTATCTTGTAAGAAGTACAGCCCGAATGCTCCTTAGAAGTGAGGTTAGTGAGGCTTCTTCGCTAGTTCTTTGGACATGTCAGGAAGGACCAATCCCTGGAGAAGGAGATCATGTTTGGTGACGTGGAAAGTCAAGGTGGACTGACACAGGGTCAGCAGCAATGGGTTCAAATTTAACGTAATTGTGAGGATGGTGCAGGACCAGGCTGTGTTTTGTTCTGTTGTACATAAGGTTGCTGATGTGTTAGAAATGACACCAGGTCACCTAACAACAATAACAATTCACCTACTTAAACTGTATAAGTTGATGGTTTTTAGTATAGTCACAGAATTGTACAATCATCACCACAATCAATAACATTTTCACCAACCCGAACAGAAACCCATTAGTAGAGTAACTCATTTCCTTCATCCCCTTGGTTCCGAGGCAAGCATTAATCTACTTTCTGACTTTATGTTGTAGTTTGTTGCCATCGAGTCAGCGCTGAGTCATGGTGAATTAATATATAAAAGAACAAACATTTTCAGATGTTGTGCCATCTTCATGATTGTTGGTATGTGAGTCCGTTGTTTCAGCTATTTCTGTCTTTACAGGTTTGCCTATTTTGAACAATTCATATAATATGGGGTCTTTTACGACTGGCTTCTTTCACTTAGCATAATGTTTTCAAGATTCCTACATTCTTTTATATGGATAATATGCCATTGGATGGGTATGCCATATTTTGCTTATTCATTCAGCAGTCATTGGATGTTTGGGTTGGTTCCATTTTTGCCTATTATAAACAATACTGCTCTGAGCATCCCTGGAGAAGCTTTTATAGGACATATGTTTTCACTTTTCTTGAGTAAATACTTAGGGTGGAACTACTAGGTCTAATTTTATGTTTAACATTTTGAAGACCTGCAAACTGTCTTCCCAAGTGGTTATTGCTATTTACATTCCCACCAGCAGTGTATGAGGGTTCCAAATTTCCTTCATTCTTATTAATGCCTGTCCATTCAGTTGGTCTGAAGTGGTATGTTTGTTTTGCTTTTATTTTTGAATTTCTGAATGACTACAGGGTCGCTATGGGTCGGAATCGACTCGACGGCACTTAACAACAGTGATGTTGCACATCTTTTCATGAGCTTATTGGTCATAGGTTTATCTTTTTTTGAGAAATGTCTATTCAGATTCTCTGCTCATAAAAAGAGAAATGCTATTTGTCTTTTGATTATTGAGTTGTTTATATATTCTGGATACTTGAACTTCATAAGAACCATTTTCTTCCATTTTGTAGACTGCCATTTTACTTTCTTACGGTGTCCTTTAAAACACATTTTTAGTTTTGATGAAGTTCAATTTATTTTTTTCTTTTGTTGTCATAGCTAAGGATAACATTTCACAACCCAAGGTCACCAAGATTTACTTGTATGTTAAGAGTTTGTTTTAGTTCTTATACGAGGAGCTCTGGTAGCGTAATGGTTACGAATCGGGCTGTGAACTGCAAAGTCAGCAGTTCGAAACTACCAGCTGCTCCGTGGGAGAAAGATGAGGCTTTCTGCTCCCGTAAAGATTTACAGCCTCGGAAACCCTGTACAGGGTCGCTAT